TCAATGCCCACCAAACCCTTCTAGTGTTTTCTGTTGGTCATGGGAGTCCTGTGTGCCAAGTTTGATTCAATTCCATCATTGGTGGGGTTCAGAATGCTCTTTGATTGTAGGTAAAATATAAATCCCAGCAACTACAACTCGCAAATGACAAAATCAATGTTTTTGAGTGACGGACATAGATTGGGTTGTTAGGTGTCTTGTGTCCAAATTTGGTGTCAATTTGTCCATTGGTTTTTGAGTTCTGTTAATCCCACAAACGAACTTTACATTTTTATTTATATAGATAAACGTATTCTCAATTTGTTTTGACACAATAAATAAATAGTATTATATAGTATTATAATATTATTATCAATATAATATGCATATATAACGTATTATATTGTTAGCATAGCACAATATTAGTATGGTATCTAATGTATCCACAGAACTGAGGTATTCAGACAGGGATGTGAGTGAAGATACTCAACCTCATGACTGAGATAAAGAGAATGAATTCAACCATGGCTCATCTTCCCCAAAGTTGTTGCAAATCTCGACTAATGTAAGCATTAGAAGTGCCATGGAAACCAAAAGCAGCACCCAACACCTTCTCCTGCAGCCACCCTTTGGAAGGAAAGAGGACACCTTCCATTGGACGGTTTCAAATCTTGCAGGGAGAAGGCCTTAGGTGACCTCCATTCTGATGAACCCAGAAAGGGCTTCAGGACATGGGTTGAACTGGCACACTCCTGACACATTACCCTAATTGTGCCGCAGCACCTAATGTTCCCTTCCTATCGGAAGATATAATGAACGTTGAGGAACACAGTCATTTCCCAACCTAGAACGGATTTAATAACACCCTGAACTTTTACAACCTGGAAAATAAAGATGGGAGCAGCGGAGGTGGTGGAGTCAGAGCGGTTTTAATGGGAACATTCCTGTAATCGACCTTGCGTCCTGCACTGGGGGAAAAGGCAAGGGATCAACCAAGTAGAGAGAATAATCAGCACCACATGGGTCTGCATTTTCTTGGTGGCTCTTTCCTTCTTCCCTTCTTTTTCCTCATCCAGCTCCTCCCGCTCCCTCTTTTCTTTCTTCTCTTATTTGTGTACCCTTGGTTCTGGGCCCCAAAAGGGGTGCTTTTGGTTCATCCTCCACTAACCCGCACGAGGACATAAAGTGTGTCATAGGGAGTCTGTGTGCCAAATTTGGTCCAGACACATCATTCGTTCGGGTCGCAGTGGTTTCTGAAAGTGAGTGAAGATAATGCAATCCCGTTATCCCTGGTCCATCCTCTCCCAAAACTCATCAGGATATAAAGTATGTCATGGAGAGTCTGTGTGCCAAATTTGGTCTAGGTCTGTCATTTGTGGGGGTTGCACTGATCTGTAGGATCCAAATCAAGTGAAAGTACTGTAAATCCCATCTTCTGATTTCCGTCCTCCTCCAAAGTTCACCAGGACATTCACCAGGACATGAGGTGGGTCATGGGGGGGGGGGGGGGGGGGGGGATCTGTGTGCCAAGTGTGGTCCAGGTTTGTCATTGGTGGGATGCTGAATCAGGTGAATGTACTGCAAATCCCATCATCCATGGTCCGTCCTCCTCCAAACCGTACCAAGACATAACGTGAGTCATGGGGGAGGGGTCTGTGTGCCAAGTGTGGTCCAGGTCCATCATTTGTGGGGCTCACAGTGGTCTCAGGAAGTGAGTGAAGGTACTGTAAATCCCATCATCTGTGGCCCATCCTCCCCCAAACCACACCAGGATGTAAAGTGGGTCATGAGGGGGTCTGTGTGCTAAGTGTGGTCCAGATTCGTCATTCATGGGGGTCACAGTGGTCTGTAAGTAGTTCTGAAGTGGTCTGTAAGTAGGTCTGAAGGTCTGTAAGTGGTCTGAAGGTACTGTAAGTCCCATAATCAATGGCAAGTGTTTTCCAGATCCATCATTGGTTTGGTTCTCTGTAGGTGAACTACAACTCCTATAAATCAAGGTCAGTTCCCCCAAACCTTGCCAAATTTGGTTCTGGTCCATGGTCAGTGGGAGTCACTGTGCTGTGTCTTGATTCAGGGTGAACTACATCTTCCATCTTGTTGAGTAAGTTCCCCAACTCCCTCCAAAATGTTCAGCTGCTGGTCAATTCCGCTCTGTTTGCTGTGTGCCATTGGAAAGGGTAGGAAAGGGTTAAGGGAGAGGCAGTGGGTGAGCTCATGACCAACAAAACATATGGGAGGTATCTGGAGGGATTTATAGGAGTTGTCGTTCACCTACATCCAGAGTGCACTATGAACCCAAACAATGATGGATCTAGACCAAACTTGGCATGCATACATGATATACCTAAATTTGAATACTGGTGGCTTTTGAGGGGAATTGGACAGGACATTTGGGAGTTGTAGGTACTGGGATTTACAGTTTGCCTGGAATCAATGAGCCCTCTGAACTTACCAAAGATGGAATTGGATCAAGCTTGGGACACAAGCAAAAAATACTGGAGGTCTTTGGGGAAAATTCACCTTGATTTGGGGGAGTTGTAGTTCAATTACATCTAGGGAGTGCTATGAACCCAAAAAATGATGGATCAGGAACAAACTTGGCACACATACCTGATATGCCAAAATTTGATTACTAGAGGGTTTTTTTTTTGGGGGGGGGGGGAATGAATCACCTTCTTTCCTGGGAGTTGTAGTTCACCCACAATTAGAGAAACGGTGACCTTCACTGATGATGGACCTGGACCAAACTTGGCACGCAGAACCCCCAAGACTAACTCAACTTACTGGAGGGGTTTGAGGGGACTGACCCATCATGGTGGGAGCTGTAGTTCACCCTGCAGCCAGGGAGCACACTGAACCCCACCGATGATGCATCTAGAGCAAACCTGCCCAACATGACAAACTTTAACTACTGATGGAGTTTCAGGGGGTTAACCTGGCATGATGGGAGTTGTAGTTCACCCGCAACCTTATGCATTTTGTACAATTTTAAAAAATAACTTTTTCAAATGGACCCGGGCAAAGTTAGTAATAGAATATAATAAATACTATTACAATATAATTTAATAATATCATGTGCTGCTGCCGGATGTTCCTCCCTCCCTCCTGCAAAGACAAAGTTTGGGCAGTTTAGTAAACTTTTCCCATGTTTTTATGATAGAACCAATTAGGAAACGGCATTTATAACACAGGAACCAACATCGTGTGACATTGTGTTATGAGACGGGGTGGCATAAGTCGCCTTGATCCGATGGAGAAAAGGGGGGGGGGGGAGTATTTATCTTCTCTCTCAAGGAAATCTGTTTGTTCTGCCCCTTGAACCAGAAAGTGAAAACCAAGGGGAGGGAGGCCGTACAGTAACAGGATTACAAAGTCAACATATGCCTTGGGAGTTACGTAGAATCCAGTGACCCAGTTGCGTCACCCAATCCTATTAGTCCTGCAACACACGGCGGCCCCTTAATCCCCTTCCGATTGCCACCAGCAACAATCTTGGAGGCATTAATTTGAAGGTCCACTCTTGGTGCTTGGTTTCCTCGCAGCTGCCAGCACTAATCTCGGAGACAAAGGTGGCATTCGGAGCAGGAACAGTCAGGTCTTTCCTGAATAAGCTGAGTGTTTACAGCTAGACTTTGCAAAAAACAAATTAGGATTCGATGCAACTGGGCAACTGCAGATACACTAAGGCTGAAATAGCCAAGTGCTCATTCCGATGTGCGAAAAACGCAATTCAATCCAATCATAAAGTGAAAGGAACCTAGTGTCTACATCTAGGGAAGTCATGCTACTCCTCTATTCCGCCTTGGTTAGACCACACCTGGAATATTGTGTCCAATTCTGGGCACCACAATTCAAGAGAGATATTGACAAGCTAGAATGTGTCCAGAGGAGGGCGACTAAAATGATCAAGGGTCTGGAGAACAAGCCCTATGAGGAGCGGCTTAAGGAGCTGGGCATGTTTAGCCTGAAGAAGAGAAGGCTGAGAGGAGATATGATAGCCATGTATAAATATGTGAGAGGAAGTCACAGGGAGGAGGGAGCAAGCTTGTTTTCTGCTTCCATGGAGACTAGGACATGAAACAATGGCTTCAAACTACAAGAAAGGAGATTCCATCTGAACATCAGGAAGAACTTCCTGACTGTGAGAGCCATTTAGCAGTGGAACTCTCTGCCCTGGAGTGTGGTGGAGGCTCCTTCTTTGGAAGCTTTTAAACAGAGGCTGGATGGCCATCTGTCAGGGGTGCTTTGAATGCAATATTCCTGCTTCTTGACAGGGGGTTGGGCTGGATGGCCCATGAGGTCTCTTCCAACTCTTTGATTCTATGATTCTATGAGAGTAGCCGACCCCCTTGTTGCCTCTTCAACCTTCTGGACCATTGCAATGTCATGCAACTTTCCATTTCGACTATAACCATACAGAACATGAGTGATACGTCATTTCCCATATCAGCAAAAATGAGGTTGACGCTCTTCTGAAGACATTACACATCATGTGCTTTAAGGGCTGTCCTTTTAAAATTTCTGGAAGGGGAAGTTTGAAAACGTGACAAACCAAAGGAAATGCTTTCAAAGTTCATTTTTGTGAAAATTAAGCGCTGTGTGACCCTGGTCTTGCTGAAACAGTGCTCATCTCAGCAAAAATCCCAATTTGGCAATGTAAACGCAGTATTTTTACGGCAAGATGACACGAGCTGCACAATGCAGCAGAATAATCAGAGGGGAGTATGGCTGGCTTCACTGTAATCTAGAGGCAGTCTCAAAGCTTTGAAGGCCAGGAATCAACAGCAAACCCGGGCAAAACTAAGCTAAGTCAGCCACAGTGTCCAAATGCAGGGAGGAAAGGAGAGAGAAAGGGCAGTTTCGTTGGCATTCTGGAGATCTTCTGGCCAGGAAGTTCTTCCCAAGATTAAATTGGAATCTGCTTCCCTGTCATTTGAACCCATGGCTCCACTGAATCCTCGTTTCCAGAAAGAAAGAATGCTCCCTCTTCCTTAGGGCATATATTTCATATATTTAGGTACCTTCTCTGCGATGCCATTTTCCGTCGTGTAGATCGCCATCAGCTCCGTGTCCTCTGTGTCTTGGTCGCCAGTCGAGGTTGCGCCGCCATTGATTACAACCTAAGAAAACAAAAAGGGAATATGTCCGGTTAATGGCCGCCTGGACAAGTCCATCAGAACCTACAACTGCTGTTCCTCCACTGAAATGGGTGATTGACAGCTGCGCAGTGCATCCTTTGGGACTATCTCTAAAGGTATTACTAGTTAAAAAGTTAAAAACCACAGCACTCCCAATGAGATCTTACAAACCTTCTTCTTTGAAAGCTGGTCTGAATAAAAAAGGTTTTTGCCCCCTTTAAAGTTCCCCAAATCCCAACTATTCATCCAAAGCATTCTGATCGAGTTGGCAAACAGCAATCATGTTTACTGTCCCTATTTGGTTCAGCAGCTTATTGCTATGCTATAGGACCCAGCAACAACTTGTTTTTGGTGTATCTTGAGCCTCCCACCATTCACAGCCATTGGGAGATCCCCAGGTTTACATATTACAGCACAGATGCGCATCACCCAAATGAAGGCTTTCATACGGGGACAATTCCACCCTAGATTTCATGTGTTTCCTCCATCACAGACATCCCAGTGTTTCCGACTCTCTCCGTTGGTGTGGAATTTGCATGACCCCGCCTACTGCCTCTCCCTTAACCTTTTCCTTTTCTTTTCTATGGCGCACAACAACTAGATCAGCAACTGAATGAACTAGAGAGGTTTGGGGAGAATTCATCATGATTCATAGGAGTTGTAGGTACTGGGATGTATAGTTCACTTGCAGACTAAGAACTGCACTCTTAACTCCACCAACAATGGTACTGGAACTAACTTGGCACACAGAACATGACCAACATGGAGGGATTTATAGGAGTTGTAGTTCACCTACATCCAGAGTGCACTATGAACCCAAACAACAATGGATCTGGACCAAACTTGGCACGCATACCCAATATGAATACTGGTGGGTTTGGAGGGGAATTGGCCTGGACATTTTGGAGTTCTGGATACTGGGATTTATAGTTCACCTGCAACCAATGAGCACTCTGAACTCCACCAAAGATGGAACTGGACCAAACTTGGCACACAGAGCCCCCATGACCAGCATCTTGATTTGGGGGAGCTGTAGTTCACCTACATCCAGAGACATACCTGATATGCTGAAATTTGATTACTAGAGGGGTTTGCGGAGAACAGACCTTCCTTCCTGGGAGTTGCAGTTCACCCACAACTAGGAAAACAGTGACCTCCACCGATGATGGTCCTAGACCAAACTTGGTAGACAGAACCCCCATGACCAACTGAACCTACTGGAGGGGTTTGAGGGGGTTGACTCACCATAGAGAGAGTTGTAGTTTACCCTACAGCCAGAGAGTGCACTGAACTCCACCGATGATGCATCTACAGCAAACTTGTCCAACATGACAAACTTTAAGTACTGATGGAGCTTTTTGGGATTAACCTGGCATGATGGGAGCTGTAGTTCATCCACAACCTTATGCATTTTGTACAATTAACATTTTGACTTTTTCAAATAACCCGGGAAATGCCGTGGACCCAAACTTAGGTGCAATTACTTTAACGAAATAGCAATGAAATTTATTATTCTCGTTATAGTAACCATTTTTTCACTAAGTATACTTTAGAAACACTTTAGAAATGAAATGCCAGCATGCCCCCCCACCCCACCCCACAAAAATTGACTTTTGAACCATTTCTCTTATGGATTTCACATCCCTACTCCCTATTTCTTGCACATGGCACATTATTTCCGACTTCTCTACCATAGTGTACTGTACGGGGCCTTTTCCCACGATCAACTGCAACTCCCTATTATAGATTACCCTTATCAGAGAACTGTTCCAGAGCTTTGATCACTTGGGCTGCATTGATGCTCACCTTACTCAACTCTGGAGGTGCGCTGAGGATACACAGCACTTGAAAGCCATTATATCACCACGTAATTGTCTCATCCACCACTTTATCTAGCATAAGGGCACTCACTCGCAGAGATAAGAAACCAGGTCGCTTAAGCAATCCAATCTCTTCCCTGAACAAAAGGAGTCATTCATTAGACCCGCTCTGTGAATGGTTGCTCCACAAATTCCCTCGCCAGTGAAAATAGATGCAAAATAGATCTAGTGTAGGAAAAAGAGTGTTTACAAAAAGCCCCTTCCCCAGAATGGAGCCGGCTGAAAGGCTTGGGTCCGAGCTGCGTTTGTGACATCATGGCCAGAACTATGACAGGTCAGCGCCAAGCCATGCCATTTCAAAGCTCTTCCACAATTAACAAAGCATGCCCTGGGCAATTATCAAGCTAATTGAGCCTCCAATTTCTATGTACATTGCTCCCTAGTCTGTGGATGCCTAGTTACATCTGGCTAAGTAATTCAATACTATTTGTAAGTGCAATTAGTAGCCTTGTGCACATATTCGGAGTGGTTGGTTCACTTTGGCCAATCTGGCTTGTTGGCTGGGTTGGGTGGCCATATTGGCAAGGGCCCAGCCATCACTTTTTCCTGTCCATAACTGGTCCACGTGGCAGCCGATCACAGCTCCTCCTCCCCTCTTCAGCATCACAGTTGCATCCTGGCTTCGGTGTAATTTTTGGCTTGGCCTGTCTCTTGAATATTTTTGATTTTCCTTAATTTTTAATTCTTTTTTATTTGGTGGGACTGACTGGGAGAGGGGATTGTGGAGGCTCAAAGTGGCTGGGCCCTGAAATGACAGGTTCGTTTTAGGGTTGCCGCACACCAGCAGTGACTTGAAGGCACACAACGAGAGCAACTTACCGGTAACGTAAAGAAAGTGGGATGCTTGGATTCCTCCTCGTATTTGCCTTCCGTGGGACTTCCAGTTTCTACAGATTTAGACGTGGTGTTCTTGCCGATCCCCATTGTTTTCAGAATGCTGAGGAAATCCAGCTGTTCTCCCAGTTATTGCTGCAGGAGATGAATCTCCAATGAAAACGGCGGCAGCCCGAAAGCCAAGAGAGCTCCGTAGGCCTTCACAATGGTGCATCAGGTCCGATACATAACGCTTCTATGGAGCCTGGAAAAGAAGAAAGGGAAGTTAGAGAAATATATTTCACCATGAAATCTCACATAATATCTAGAACTACTTTATTAGTTTCATTGAAAGTCAGAGTTATGGGAAGTTATGGGATTTCATCCGGTAGATAAAACATCCTAAGAGAATAAACCTTTAAGAGACAGAGAGATAGAGTAGAGACTTTTTCTTTGGGTGCTTATATAAATAGAGAATGAGATAGATAGATAGATAGATAGATAGATAGATAGATAGATAGATAGACAGATAGATAGCGTGGAGCCCTTTTCTTTGGGTGCTTATATAAACTGAAAAAGGGGCTCCACGCTATCTATCTATCGTTCTTTCTATCTCTCTCATTCTCTATTTATATAAGCACCCAAAGAAAAAGACTCTACTCTCTCTGCCTAGCTCATTCTCTGTTTATATTAGCATCCAAAGAAAGGGGTTCCTATCTGTCTGTCTGTCTGTCGGTCCGTCCCCCTATCCGTCCGTCCATCCATCCATCCATCCATCCATCCATCCATCCATCTCATTCTCTGTTTATATAAAGCACCCAAAGAAAAAGACTCTACTCTCTGTCTAGCTCATTTTCTGTTTATATTAGCATCAAAAGAAAGACGTTCCTATCTGTCTGTCTGTCCCTCCCTCCTTCCATCTATCTCATTCTCGGTTTATATAAGCATTCAAAGAAAAAGACTCTACTCTATCTCTCTGTCTGTCTAGCTCAGTGTTTCTCAACATAGGGTCGCCAGATGTTTTTGGCCTACAACTCCCAGAAATCCTAACAGCTGATAAACTGGCTGAGATTTCTGGGAGTTGTAGGCCAAAAACATCTGGGGACCCCAGATGTTGAGAACCACAGATCTAGCTCATTCTCTGTTTATATTAGTATCCAAAGAAAGGGGTTCCTATCTGTCTGTCTGTCCATCCATCTCTCCATCCATCCGTCCATCTCATTCTCTGTTTATATAAGCATCCAAAGAAAGAGACTCCTGTCTGTCTGTCCATCCATCTATCTAGCTATCTTACAGTCTGTCCATACATCTGTCCATCCATCCATCTATCTCAAACTATGGCCCGAGAGCCAAATACGGCCCTCCAAAGTCATTTACCCAGCCCTTGCTCAGGGTCAACCTAAGTCGGAAACGACTTGAAAGCACACAACAACAACAACAATCCTATCTCATCAGCCAAAAGCAGGCCCACACTACCCATTGAAATACTAATAAGTTTATATTTGTTAAAATTGTTCTTCATTTTAACTATTGTATTGTTTTAAGTGTCTTTTGCATTACAAATAAGATATGTGCAGTGTGCATAGGAATTCATTCATATTTTTTTCAAATTATAATCCGGCCCTCCGACAGTTTGAGGGACTGTGACCTGGCCTTCTGTTGAAAAAGTTTGAGGACCCCTGATCTATCTCATACTCTGCTTATATTAGCATCCAAACTCCTCCAAACCTATTTTGATGCAAAGTCATCAAAGCCGTATTCCCCTCATATTTTTTTTTTTGTCGTGAATATTTTGGCACAACTGCTTAACCTCAACTCCCTTTGGCAAATAAATTTAAGTGTTGAAATGAACACCTGATTCCCTATATGCGTTTACTTCCATCCCTCCCATCATTGCTTTCTCCTGTGGAACGTTTAGATTGAAAGCCACCTCTTGAAGCATCATATCATATAATATTAATTAGAAGGAATAAACGAACCTATACATCAGTCAAAGCTTAAAAGCATCAAATAAAAATAGAATCCTGCCAACTTGGAATCATGGTGATGCATATCATGGAGCAAATGCTGCAACGGACAACCTTTCCATTACAAACGAAGACAAATACAAATCCAAATCCAAGCTCAAATGTTTGCTAGGTCATCTCAGGTCTTGCACCAAAGAGTCAAACAAGTCCAAGACTGAACAACTATAACCTGCAGCCAATGCCGAAGCAGCATTCCATTGTGTTGAATGTACAGCTGGTCTGCTCAGGCCTATATTTCAAGTTCACACGTTTGTTCTAATTCAGAGTACAGCAGCCCTGTAATTAGAATGTGCCCTTTCAAGGGCTGCCCCTTGGAAAACACCCAGAGCCTTGTTCCTACACGAGGAGCCAGGTGTTGAGCAAATACGGCTCCAAGGTCCAGGGCCGCGTCGCCTCCGCTTGCCCATAGCCAGCATTGCGTTGCCAAGGCAGGAGCGGCTATTCCTCCAAAGGGGCAACGAAGAGGAGGGGGGCCACTCCACCCCAACTAGACTCCCTTCATCACTTAGGAATGTATGCGGCAGAGGGGTGAATCAGACAATTTGGTAGGAGCAAGGGACAAATGGAACATCTTTGTGTCTGTAAAGCTGGTCCTTGCCCTTTTGGCCACTCAATCTATCGCTTAATCGATCTATCTAATTATCTGTATATGCATCCAAAGAAAGAGAGTTCTGTCTATCTATATTATCTATCTATCTATCTATCTATCTATCTATCTATCTATCTATCTATCTATCTATATCATCTATCTATCTGTCTATCCATCTATCTCATGCTCTGTTTGTATAAGATCCAAAAAGAGACATCTACCTACCTACCTACCTACCTTCTCTGTTTATGTAAGCCTCCAAAGAAAAAAAAATCTGTCTGTCTGTCTGTCTGTCTGTCTGTCTATCTGTCTGTCTATCTATCTGTCTATCTATCTGTCTATCTATCTATCTATCTATCTATCTATCTATCTATCTATCTATCTAATTTTCTGTTTATAGAAACCTCCAAAGAAAGAGACTCCACTCCATCCTCTATCTAATCTCTGTTTATATAAGCCTCCAGAGACTCCATTTCATCTGTCTGTCCATCCATCCGTCTGTCTATCTCATTCTCTGTTTATATAAGCATCTAAGAGACTCCCCTCTACCTACTTACTTACCTACCTACCTACCTACCTACCTACCTACCTACCTACCTATTGGTCTCATTCTTTGTTTATGTAAGCCCCCAAAGAGACCATTTTGTCTGTCTGTCTGTCTGTCTGTCTGTCTGTCTGTCTGTCTGTCTATCTATCTATCTATCTATCTATCTATCTATCTATCTATCTATCACATTCTCGGAAGACGGAGGGGGCTGATCTAATATCCCTAGGGAGGGGAGGGAGTTCCACAGACAAAGCCCCTCATTCCCACCAGTTGCACCTATGAAGGAGGTGGAAGCAACAGTAGGGACTCCCCAATGATCTTAGCCTCCTAGATGGTTCACAGAAGGAGATACGTTCGGACAGGTAAACTATCTATCTATCTATCTCAATCCATCCATCTGTCCGTCCATCCGCCCGCCTATCTATCTATCTATCTATCTCAATCCATGCATTCATCCATCTGTCTGTCTGTCTGTCTGTCTGCCTGCCTCTCTGTCTATCTATCTATCTATGGAAAGAAGGAAGGAAGGAAGGAAAAGGAGAAAGAAAGAAAGACAGCAAGCAGAGATGGAAGGAACTGAGGAAAGTGTGAAAGAAAGAAAGGAAGGAAGGAAGGAAGGAAGGAAGGAAGGAAGGAAGGAAGCAGAGAAGGAAGAGAGGAAAGGAAAGTAAAAAAAAAACAGAAGAGAGGGGAAGAAAGAAAGAAGAAAAAAAGGGTAGGAAAAAGAGAGGGGAGAAGAAAAGGAAGTGAAGTAAGTAGGTAGGAAGCCAAGAGGGAAGGAAGAGAAGAAAAGGAGAAAGAAAATAAAAACATACAGACAGACAGATAGGAAGCAGAAAAGAAAGGAGGAAAGGGAGAAAGAAAGGAAAAAAGGAAAGAATGAGAGAGAGAAGAAAGAGAGAAAGGAGAAGAAAGAAAAAAGGAAGCAAGGAAGGAAAGAGGTAGAGAAGGAGGAAAGGGAGAAATGACAAAGGAAGGAAGGACGGAAGGAAGGAAAGAAAGGAAAGTTGGAAAAAAAGAGGGAAGAGAAGAAAGTTAGAAATTAAGAAAGAAAGCAGAGAGGGAAGGGAGAAAGAAAGCAAAAAGGAAGCAAGCAAGCAAACAGAGAGAATAAAGAGAGGAAAGGGAGAAAGGAAGAAAGAACTGTATATTGGAAAAAGAGAGGGAAGAGAAGAAAGGAAGGAAGGAAGAAAAGAGAGAGGGGAGAGAGGGAAGGGAAAAGAAAGAACTAGTAAGAAAGAAAGGTAGGTGAAAGAGGGAAAGAAGAGAAGAAAAGGAGAAAGAAAGGAAAGGAGAGAAACAGAGAGGAAAAGGGAGGAGAAAAGAAAGAAAGAAAGAAAGAAAGAAAGAAAGAAAGAAAGAAAGAAAGAAAGAAAGGTAGGAAAAAGAAGAGGGAAGGAATTCATAAAGCGTGGTGGAGCGGTTTGAACCTGGGACTGTTGCTCTCTCTCAGCTTCAGAGAAAGGAAGACGAAGGCCAATCCCTTTGGAATCAATCATGACCAGAAAACTCTGTGAGAGGGTTGCTTACCTTAGGGCAGTGGTTCTCAACCAGTGGGTCCCCAGATGTTTTGGCCTTCAACTCCCAGAAATCCTAACAGCTGGGATTTCTGGGAGTTGTAGGCCAAAACACCTGGGGACCCACAGGTTGAGAACCACTGCCTTAGGGTCACCGTGAGTCTGAAATTAGTTTATTTTTCGTGTCAGGAGCGATTTGAGAAACTGCAAGTTGCTTCTGGTGTGAGAGAATTGGCCGTCTGCAAGGACGTTGCCCTGGGGACATTTGATGTTTTACCAACCTTGTGGGAAGCTTTTCTCATGTCCCCACATGGAGAGCTGGAGCTGACAGAGGGAGCTCATCCGCCCTCTCCCTGGATTCGAACCTCTGACTTGTCAGTCTTCAGTTTCACCTACTGCACCACTAGTGGCTTGAAGTCACCCAACAACAACAACTACAACAACAACAACAACAACAAGAAGCTCTAGTCTGGTCCCCCAAAAGCCTTAGGGACCCTGTCCTGTCCCTCTGCTTGAAAAGTGTGAGGCCACCTGCTCTGTGCTTTCCTTTATGTTACAGCAACTTTGCAGGGAGGTTGTTGAAAC